CACACAGCTTTTAGGTGGATTCCCTAGAGTTTTTCACATATAGGATCATTTCATTTATGAATAAAGACAATCTTGCTTGTTCCAAACTAGAGGCTTTTTTTTTTTTTCTTGCCTGATTGTACTGGCTAGAACTTCAACAAACTTTTGAATAGAAATGGCAAGAGTTTTTTGTCTTCTGATCTTAAGGGGAAATCATCTCATCTTTCAACATTAAGTACCATGTTTCTTGTAGGTTTTATATAGATGCCTTTTATCAAGTTGAGGAATTTTCTTTCTATTTCTGGTTTGCTGAGAGTTTTTATCATAAAACGGTGTTGGATTTTGTCAAATGCTCTTTCTCCATGCATTGAAATAATCATATAGTTTTATGATTATTTATTCTACTAATATAGTGTATTACACTAATTGCTATCCTTTATTCTATTAATATGGTTTTTAAACCATTTTACATTCCTGAGATAAATCCTACTTAGCCATTGTGTATAATCTTTATATGTTGTTGGCTTTATTTGCTGATATTTTCTTGTGGATTTTGCATCTGTATTCATGAGGAAAATGGTCTTAGTTTGTCTTCTTGTGATATCTTTGTCTGGTTTGGTATTGGGTTGATACTTAGCCTTCCCTTTTCTATATGAATGATCTTCCCAGAAATCTCCAGTTCCCTAGAATTCCTCATTCCAGTACTCCAGCCATGAATCTAGGGTTTTATTTACCCAGCCCACTTGCATGCTTCTACTTACTGTGCTTACATCTGGAGCCAAATAGAGGATAAAGAGGGAGAGGAAAGGAAACAGAGAGAGACAACAATGTGAATTCACCCCACCTTCTTGAAATCAAAATGTCACCAGGTTTGGTGGCTCAAGCCTGTAGTCCCAGCACTTTGGGAGACTGAGGCAAGAGGATTGCCTGAGCCCCGGGCAACTGGGCGAGACCTCGTTTTTACAGTAAATCAAAAATTAGCTGGGTATAGTAGCATGTGCCTGTAATTCCGGCTACTTGGAAGGCTGAGTTGGAAGGATTGCCTGAGCCCAGAAGGTCGACGCTGGGATGGCATTGAGCGTGCCACTGTACTTCAGCCTGAGCAATGGAGTGAGACTCCAACAGAGAGAGAGAGAGAGAGAGAGAGAGAGAGAGAGAAAGTACAATGCCACCAATCAGATAGGAAATAGGAAAACTCCATTCCTTCAAAGTTTTAGCTGTTTTAGGCCTACAGTATTATTGCCACTTCCACAGGATTGCTTAGAGACTGTGGTGTGGGAATGGAGGAAAAGAAAGAGAGGGCAATTTTTGTATTCTCTTTGAGTATTAGGAATTCCTGTTCTCATTCCTTAAGTTAGAACTAGAGAACTTCTCCTAGAGCTAGCTCTGTCTGCATCCTGGTGCCCACTTCTGGGTTTTGGACCATCCTGATATCAGGCAGGAGATAGTAGAGAGAAAAAATGGTAAACTCACGACAAGTCTGGTGGTACTTTGAATTCTTGCCTTCTTTACAAACTCAAGTATTATTGCATGTTTGCTTTTCAGAATCCTGAAATAGCTCTTACCTGAAATAGATTTTATCAAATTATTTATATATTTGTTATTTTATTTTTCTAGTAATTCATTTTTAATACATTTTGCAAGAACATGGGTCCTCAAATTGATTGAGAATTAAAAATAATGAACATTCTGGCTGAGGAATAAAGGCTTTGGGGAATTTTTTTAAGGAGCAGTTAGTAGGGAGGGATTGGGATTTTCTGTTAAAAATCAGTTGTCAGGTATAAAAAATAGAATGTCAGAGTTGAACTTAACAAATCAAAACGATGCTACTGTTTTCTTCATGTAGTAGACCTAGCCATGAAATTCACTCTAACTTTGATTCATGTAGTGCCATTTGGAAATAAGAAAACAGTCTTTTTCTTTGCTTTTACTGAAAATTCCTAGGGGCAATGTCTTACAGAAAAGCTATAATTGAGCTGGGCGTTGAGGAGATTATTTGAAACAGGAAAGGGGCTTGAGATTATTTGAAAAAGGAAAGGAGATTTTGTTCATTTTTTGAAACTTTTTTCTGTGTTCTTTCAAATTGGATACATTCTGTTGTTTTGTCTTCAAGTACACTATCTCTTTCCTGTTACATCGAGTCTTTCCAGATAATATATATCTTCTAAAATTTCCCATTTATGTTTAATAGCTTCTATTTATCTGCTGAGTAAAACTAGCTTGCTATTTATTACAGGTGTATGTACTTTTACTTCATGGACTATGGTTATTATTGCCAAATTAAGATCTTTATTTGATCATTCCAGCATATGTGAGGATCTATTGATTGCCTTTTACCTTGATAATTTGTCATATCTGCTTGCTTTTTTGTTGTATTTTTGATTGTGCGGTGGACATTTTGAATATTATGTTTTAAGATTATGACTCAGAACAGCCTGGGCAACTTGGTGAGACCTCATCTCTACAATAAACAAAAATATTAGCCAGGTGTGATAGCGCATGCCTATGCTTCTGGCTACTTGGAAGGCTAAGGTGGCAGGATCACCTGAGCCTAGCAGGTCGACTCTGGGGTTGCTGTGAGTATGCCACTGCACTCCACCTGGGTTACAGAGTGAGATCCCAACTCAAAGAAAAACAAACAAACAAAAAGGATTATGGATCCTGTTTAAATTCTGCGGTGAAGATTGAATTTGTTTAATTTTCATCAAACTTGCTTAGGTTTAGACTACAAGCTCTGTCTTACCCTCTATGGGCAGTGGTGGTAAAGACTGAATTTGTTTAATTTTTGTCAAATTTGGTTAGGTTTGAACTACAAGTCCTGTCTTACCCTCTATGGGTCGTGGTTCCCATGTCAGTTCAGTTTCAAAAGCCTGTGCTCCTTTCTTTGAATCTGCCTTATGCCCACATCACTCAAGATTTATTTTGGTAGTCTGGAACTTGGGCAATGGTTTAAATTGTAGTTCAGTTCTCAAAGCCTTTGCTGTGTGTGCTGCTTTGAGTCTTTTCTGCTCATGTGCACCTTAGAGTCTAGGACTTTGATTCATTTATATAGAACATAAGGGCATTCTGTTCTTCATTTCTTTCCTTTCTGAGATTTCCAGATTTTTACATTTTATTGAGGTATTTATTTCATATATTTCTCAATGTTTCAATTTATTATATTTCAATAATATTTTTATCCCACTATATGAAAAAGATGATTTTGCTGTCATCACTTTTTCTCCTACTCCTAATATTGGATTTTTATATTAACTTTTGTTCTTTTGGTTGCATTTGTAGCATTTTATGTAATATATTTAAACTGCTATCTTTATCTGTCAAGTTTCATAATGTTCTTCAATCTTGACTCTTGGTGGAGATATCTGTGCCACTGCTTTTTCTTTTCCCTTTCATTCCACACTTAAGTCATTGTGTTAGCAACGCTGTGCTCTTTCCAAAGGTGTATTGCAAATGTTTAAAATTTTACTTTAAAAAACTACGAAAGAGTGTTTTCATTATTATGATTGGAGACATGTTGTTCAACTCTGGGACAAGTCACAGTTTAGGAGCACATGTTCCCCCTTAAGGTCCTATGTGATACGCTGATCAATTGAACAATGTATCAAGCAAAGGAATTTCTTTACCTTTTGTCCTTTGGTATGTAAAATTATGCCACAATTTAGTTTGTCATTTATTTGAACAATTGTATTTTGCATATGTTAACTATATGTGCATACTTGTGTGTGTATATGCATTTAATTTCAATATTTTTCTTTCTTTTTTTTTTTTCAGTCAGGATCTCACTCTGTCGCCCAGGCTAAAGTGCAGTGAGACAAATCACGGCTCACCATGGCCTTGAATTCCTGGGTTCAGGCAGACGATCCTCCCACCTCAGCCTCCCAAGAAACTGGGACTACAAGCATAAACCACCATGCCCAGCTAGTTTTCTTTTAATTTTTTGTAGACACAAGGTGTCACTATGTTGGCTAGGTTGGTGTCAAACTCCTGGGCTCAAGCGATTCTCTCATCTTGGCCTTCCAAAGTTCTGGGATTGCAGGCATGAGCCACGGAACTCAGTCATATTTTCAAGATTTCAAAGACTTCTTTTTCTTGGGAAATTTCCTGCAGATCATGACCTGTGCAGAACTGTCATTCTGGGATTTCTCTTCCCTGCATTTTGGGCTGAATTCTACTATTTTCTAGATTTTTGTGTCTCTCTTTCTTGGTGTACTCCTTTATTTTACTGAAGTACATTTTCAAGAAACTTCCTAAGATAGGACGGATGGGAGGGGAAAGTTTCTGCTTAGGGATGTGACAAGAAATGTCTTTATTTTGTTTTTCAATTTGATTGGCAGTCTCCCTGGACTTAGAATTCTAGACTGAAAGTTATTTTCTCTCAGAAGTTTGCTGTGTTCCATTTCCCCATTGCCTTCTAGTATCCACCGTTGCACCAACCAGGAAATACAAGAAACAAAGATAATCCATTTATTAGCAAATTGCAGCTCATGGATTTCTTCCCTCTTTGTAAGGCAATGATTAGAAGGATTTGTCTGTCTTGATGAAGTAAGGTTGATATTTCCATAAACCACTGTGCTTCCATGCTTGTCTCACTCATACTGCTCATGGTCTTTTCTATTGAAGAACCCATTGATCTCTCACTATTCTAGAAAGGCAGAAGTACAGGTCATGGTCAAAGAAGTAGTCTTTGCTCTCCAACTTTGAGGCTGGCACAGAATTGTAGAAATTCTAGATGTATATATAATTTTTCTTTGTTTCTCTTTTCTTCAATTAGTCACCAAATTCTCCTTTTACCTTGAGCTAAAGTATAAAAGTTGTGGAGGACATATATTGCCTTTACCAAAAGGGTAATTTTTAGTTAACATGGAAAAGAAAGTACTCCAAAGTGAATATATAGTATAAGTGCATTCTGTAATTCTTCGATAATATGATTCTCAGTAGAAAATTCAAGACTGCCCAGTACTTATGATTTTCACTATCTGTTTAGTTTTTCTAATCAATTATTACTGCTTTGTCTTTTTCAGCAAAAGAAATTACAAGGAAATCCGACCAAAAAAATTAAATCAAAAAGACCAGATCCCCTCAAAGGCCAGAAGGTTATTGCAAGATGTGATGAAAATGGTTTTTATTTTCCAGGTAGATTTTTTTTAATTTTGTGAGACTCTTGCTAAATAACTTGGGTGCCAGAGTTTTTAACCTGTGCTTTTCCTGGAACACTGATATTTCAATTCTCAAATAACATGATGAGGTATCTCCCCAAATTGGGGGCAAAAGACGTAGCCAAAATCATGTATTTATTTTAATATATCATTTGTTTAGTAAACAAATTTTATTACATACCTACTATGATCTTGTACATAATATTCTGAAAGTTCTGATCTAATGTATTGGGCAAATTCTTGTCTTCATGGAGGTTACCTCTTAGTAAGGGAGACAGACAAGCAATGAAATAAACAAGTAAAATATGTAGTATGCCAGATACAGTGCTCTGGAGAAAACTCAAACCACAAAGGGTTTGAGAATGTCAGAGTGAATGCTGTAATTCTAAGTACAGTGGTTAATGAAGAGTTTCTGAGGAAGGTGACATATAAATCAGGACTTTAAAGTTTTCAAAAGATACCTCCTACTTCTGTGTGAAGAGTGGACACAAAGTGGGTTAGGATGTCACTCCAATTCCTGGCTTGGGGTAGTAGGTAGATAATAGTAGTAGCAGGAGATGATGGTGTGGACAGAAAGGGCTGAGCTGTATCTGGGATATGCCGAATCACAGGTGCCTATGAGATGCTCAACTGAAGGTGTCAGAGAAGCAATTGGAGATATGGGTCTAGAGTCTGGAGAGAAAATCTATCTGGAGATAGAGATTTGGGAGACATCAACATAAAAGTCATCATTGGAATCATGGGAAGGGTCTGTAGGGAAAAGAGAACTAGAACAAAACTTTGAGGACCTCTGTTAGACAAAAATTTTACACTGCAGAAACATAGCTGACCTTCTGTAGGCATGACTTATCAATCACCAGTTAAAAGAAAAAATATTATTTAAACTTAATTAAATAGTCTTTTCAGGTGAGGAAAAAACACTTCAGCAGGATTTTGGTTTCCAGCAGGCATATACGTAGAGCTGACAATGGGGACATCTTACTTAAAATGGCAAATGTTGTTTGGATTTGCCTGGTTGAGATTAAATATGGATCCGAGCATTTGAGAGGAGCACATGGGGTAAAGCATGAATCTCTTCTTTACAAGAACAGGGGCTGAGAATCTTCCATTTCTCTGAGGCTCAGATTTGCTGAGAGATGATTATAGGAGACCATCGTTGCTTGAGAAACTTCATTTTCTGAATCTGAGCCTTGGAGAGGCTGGCAGCTGAATGGAAATCTGGCAACTGAATGGAAATACTGCAAAGGACTGGATTCCAAGTGGTTGTGTTAGGGCTTGGGGAACAGTTTGCTGGCCAGGGGCCCAGTGAAAAGCAGAATGGCTTGAACTTTTATGCAGTGCCAACCCTGTGTAATGACAAAATGTGAAAGATCTACTGGGGGAGCAGAGGAGACAGGGCTAATATCACAGCCACAAGCAATAGCCAAAGCCACTTCCAAAGCGATTTTTAAAAATGTTCAATTAGAAGCAGAGAACACATGCTGTCCTCCTAACAGCCACATAGGATCTGACTAATCGGGAATTTTAAATCTGCAGCTGTGATTAAACTCAGATAAGTCAGCTTGGAGGAAATAAACATTTAAATTTAGTCATACAGTCAGTAATTTTGATTAGCATGTAGGTAGTAAACTCTGAGTCAGTCAAATTAAATAGCAGTCCATGGGTTTATCCAGATGTACTTAGTTTCTGTTTCCTCTCCCCCAGTCAACTAATCTTTTTTTCATTGAGAATTTCAACTTTTTACTTTCATAAAGTTATTTTTTAAAATAATAATTTTAAATATACAGAAAAGTTGTGAGAATAATACAGAGAACCCCTATATAATCTTTACCCAGATTTGCTGATTTTTAACATTTGATCATATTTTATCACATATATTATCTTATTTCTCTCTTTCTCTCTCACATTCCTGACCCCCTTCTGTCTTCCTCTTCACCTTCCCCTTCACATATACACACACGTTATTTTTCTGAACTATCAGAGATTAAGTAACACTTATTATATTTCTTTATCTTTTGATATATCAATGTGTATTTCTAAAAGTAAAATAATTTCTTAATAGAAAAGCAATAAAAGTATCAATTCAGAAAATTTAGCACTATCATAAGACTTTATATATTTTGATTTTGTTAACTGTCCTAATAATGGTCTTTATCACATTTATTTTCTCCAATACAAGTTCCAATCCAGAATCATGCACTGCATTTAGATAGCATATCTCTTCAGTCTTCTTCAATCTAGAATTGTTCTTTAGCCTTTCCTATTATCTTTCATGATCATGATACTATTTAAGAATAAGCCTGGTATTTTATAGAATGTTCCTCAAGTTGGATTAGATTAGATTTAGGTTATCATTTCTAGCCAGAATGCTACCTAAGTGATGTCGTGTCCCTCTCAGGACATTCCATCCAGAGATACTTGAAGTCCATCTATCCTTATTGGTGATATTAATCTAGATCGCCTGGTCACTGTGAGTTGTCTTTTTCTCATGCAAAAAACAAAAGCCAAATGGAGTTTCATAGAGCACAGGCATGACATTCATTGGTAACTTCTTTTCTAGTAACTGTTGTTCCAAACCTCCTAAACATTTTTAGTGAAAAATAGCTGTCTTTAAAGTGCACCTCAATAGGAGGCGGGATTGAAGTAATTGAATTTGAGTGTCCACCATGTGAAGCCAGGCCCACATTGGAGCAGAGCTGGCCAGACTGGCTGTTGCCACCATTCTCAGGGTCACGACAGGGATTTCCACATGACCAACTCTATTCCAGGGGTCAGTGTAGATTATCCAGTTGAGGAAGTAACTGCGTTGTGCAGAATAGAAGCTGCAAGCCAGCATCTGGCTGATCCAGATGCTGAATGGCAAGGAGAAAAATACATTTCAAAACCTTATTTTAAATCATTATTTGTGGAAATTGGGTCATCCTTCCTGTTTTTCAGTGAGAAGCACTTGACTTCAGGAAATCCACAGTGATTTCTGCACTTGGCCATAAGAACACGTTATGATGATGGAAAGGGGCTCAAATCAATATTTTCTTGGGTGTAATAATTTAAGGTCAGAAAATCCTACTCTTTAATTTTTTTTTGAATTCTGCCTCTTTCCTACTAGTCACATGACTAGAGTTAATTAATTTCTCTATGCCTCGGCTTCCCTGTCTTTTTAAATGGGATTTAAGATGATTAAAAGTCTCATAAAAGTGTTGTGTGGATTAAATGTGGGGATGTACACACATTGTTAATGACATAGAATTCTTCTATCCTCCCATGTGACAGCTCCTCTTAGGCTATCTATATATAAACAACTCCTGTCCTCTCCTGGGAGTGGAGGAAGCCTCTTCCCATTTCACAGCAGTTCAGGACCATTCGTATCAAGTCAAAGAGGCAGAAATCAGCACAGTGGGCTGGAAAGGAACCGCTGAGACTAAAGGGAGCAAAGAACATGATGACAGAGTGTAGGATGACTCTGCCGTGGAGGTGGGGCAGGTAGAGAGACGCTCGGGCTGCAGCAAAGCTAAAGCTTTTTTGAGGAAGCGGAATTTAAGTCGCATGTTGAATATCAGCAAGCTCTTAGAGCCAGAGTTTAAAAAAAAATATCCAGTCTCCAGCCTGCGAAAGCCTGCTTAAAGCAAAGATTCAGAACTATTCATGCACCTTTCACCAACTGAACTGCCTTAAGCTATCTGCTCAGACTATTTCGCCAATTCTCTGACCTCCAAGCACCAGCAACATTTTTGCTGAGGATCTCATCAGGAGTGTGTTCGCTTTCCCCAGCTGACTACAGGAGAGCCCTCTGGCCAAGGTAGGGAGCCGACGCCTCCCCAGAAAGATTGCCAGCCTCTAGTGGGAGAAAGCAGTGAAGATTCTTCTGGTTGTCCACTCTCTAGAGCCCAGGCCCTGAAACAGATCCCAGAGAGATTTCAGAGCCAGGAGACACAGCCTCACCTCTCTGGGACTGAAGGTAGAGAGAAATGCACTGTAAGGAAGCCAAAAATTGGAGCTGATCTTGACCGGACATAAGAAGTCGTAGCAATTCCTTAACTCAGTGGAGAATGAACAAGTATAGAGGCTTAGCAGTCACTGGGCAGGCCAGCTCTGGATCCTCCAGATCCCTGGAGGACAGCCACAGGGGAACCCTGTGAGACTGAGTTTGAAGATTGACTGTAAGAAACTACACCAAGGTCTGGAGATGATCTACAACCCACGTTTATAGAGATTGTACAAAGAAGAAAACAGAATTGAAGGAACTAAAAAGAAATCATCCTAACACACCAAAAAAGTTTAGATCCAATGATCCAGAGTAGGAAGTAGCAGACTTTTTTCTATAAAAGAAAGTAAATGGTTTAGGCTTTGTGGGCCATATTGTCTCTGTCACAACTTCTTGACATAGGCAAACAACTGAAAAATTGTCTACTGGATTAATACTGAATACTGCTAAGTTCAGAAGGCTAAGAATTTGAGTCATGGGGGTTGGGGGACACACAAGTATATGGGATGTGATGAGTCCCCTCATTCTCAATTAGGAGTGGCTTTTAATTGTTTTATAATAGAAAGTAGTAATTATTTTTCTGATGAAAAGGGTGAAGTCAGTTTATGGTAGAAAATGTGTGAAAAATGCAAAACCCAAGTTAAACATTTTAGTCCAATAAGAAAACACACAATAGAAATTGGCTTTTACGTGTGTGTTAAAAATAAAAAATAAAAAGGATTTGTACTTCTTTAGCCATTTAAAACAAGAGACATGGATCAAGATGAAAACCAACAGCTGTTTCTTTGCCATGTACAAGGACACGAGGCTTTGCCAAGGCAAGCGTGTGAGCCAGGGCAGAGGAGCTGGGCACACATGCTGTGGGGCCAAGCGGGACATGTGTGTGCATGTCTGTCTCTGACAGGAGTCTGTGAGCAGCTGTTACTGCCAAGGGAAGTGTCCAATGTCAAAATGTCTCCCTCTATGTTTAGAATCCCTTTTTAATGGGGATGTAAATTTCAAGTCAGGTAAGTGATTTAAAAAATGTGAATCCTAACACAGGAATTATAATAATGATCTAGTCTAATAATTATTTGTCATTATAATATATAATTGTATTCTAATAGTATATTATGTAATCAAAGAATATATATCCTATATTATATTCTATAATATAAATTACATATCCCCTTTAGCATATCTAAAAGCCAAAGAAATTTCTTACTTTTTTCTCTTTTCCCTTTTGGCTGTATGTTTTGGGAAAGCTGTAAGATGTGTTCAATGTTACATTTTCATTTGTCTAATATTAGATGAAAACTGAAGCAAAGAACTGAGTACCACATGTTCTCACTCATAAGCAGACCCTGAACAATTATCATAATACTTTAAGAAAGGGATTGGCAGTAATGGGAAACGGCCAGGGGGGGGGCGGAATTGGCAGTAGTGGGAAACTGCCAGGGGAGGTGGGAGCACACCTCATCAACAAAGGTACCTGCATAATGAACATTTGTATACCTCACCCTGAATTGTACCCCACATCTTTAAAATAAAAATTTTTTTTTAAAGCTGATTTGGATGGGAGTTCATATATTTCCTTTTTACTTTCACAATCTAGCAGCATCTATTTTCTATCTTTCAGTTTCAAGGAAGAAAGTAGAGCTAAAATAAATAAGGAAATCAGATGGTAGGAGGTGTTCAGGAGAAGGGTCTTTGTTTCTAAGAATGTTCCCGTCAGGACAGATGCTGGTGATTCTGGGTGCACAAGCTCTGCTCATTTTCTGGGCTTCCCATCTCAGCAGGTGCTTTATCACTCTGAGTTGTTCAATCCAGCAGGCACCCTACCATATCCAATGGAGAAATCCAAGGGGTACACTGATTTAAACAGGCAAAATGTTATAACTCAGTGTAACCAATAAGGTGATGTGAGCCAAAGGAAACGGACATTATTCATCTTTCTATTTGAATTTTTCTTTGATTCCCTCCAGGGGTTGTGAAGAAGTCTGTGAGCCCTAACCAAGCACTGGTGAGCTTCAGGTATGGAGACACCAAGCTTGTGTCCACTTCCTTTATCACGCCTGTGGGAGGTGCCATGCCCTGTCCGCTGCTCCAGGTACCTGTTCCATGATGTGGTTTACAGAAGTTGGATAATAGGGGATGATAAGACCAGTGTTTGGCCCTTTGCTGAACTTAGGTGAGCTCTTGCAGGGAGCTTGTGTTTGGACAGGAAGAACAGTGGCCTCTGTTCCTCAGGCCAATTACCTGGCAATGTCTTTGTGCATGACCCTGACCTGCCAACTCCCTGCCATGTAGGTTATAGCTGCACAGACTTGCTTTCTCTGAACTTTGAGGTCCTTGTCCCTTTACAAGACAATGGGTGGCTGGGGGAAGAGCATTACTGTAGCTTCCAGTGCTCTTGACATTTTAACTGCAAAAGATTCTATTATATACAAGAACAAAGGCAGAGGCAGTGGGTTCCTTGAAATTGTGATCAGTTGAAAACAGGCTATGATGCCATGATGCATTACCCAAAATTTGCACCCCATGGGTGAGCCAGACTAATGTGTTCTCAGCTGCTCATAAATTAACAAAAGCTGTGCCGTGTCTGTTCCATCCTTCTGCTGCTATCCGAATCCCAGCACCAAGCCAGGAGTGGTGGCTCACACCTGTAAATCCAGCACTTTGGGAGGCCAAGGCAGAAAGATTGCTTGAGCCCAGGAATTCGAGAGCAGTCTGGGCAACATAGCAAGACCTCATCTCTACAAAAAAATTTAAAAATTAGCTGAATGTGCTGGAGCACACATGTAGTCTCAGCTACTCTGGAGGTTGAAGTGGAATGATTGCCTGAGCCCAGGAGATCAAGGCTGCCGTGAGCCATGATTGTGCCACTGCACTCCAGCCTGGGCAGCAGAGTGGGACTCCTATTCAAAAAATAATAATAATAAAATAAATATATTGTATATATATTTAAATATATGTATATGTATATATTCTCAGCCAAGGCCAGGGTGTAGAGGTAAGCCTCACTAAACACCACTGCTGCTATTTCTTGCACAGTGTGGCCTGAAAAAGAAGTGTCAGAGAAGCAATCAGGATTTCGCCTTGGCCATCTGTTGCTGTTTGCTGCCAGACTCATGGCACACAACAGTGCAAGTGTCCCCTGACAATTGACAAAAGCCCAGCAGCCTTTGTATGCCCCTTTGCAAGATTCTCTTTCCACTGTAGCTTCTCTCTTTGTGACTTTTACCCATGAATTCCAAGTGTGTGCTTTGGAGTGACATTAAACAAACCTGCTCTTTTCCTATGACTAAGTGACAGCCCTTCTGGAGGATGCTGTTCATATCTTTTCATGCCAAACACCCCAGGTTCCCTTAACCAGTCTTTGTAGGATGTGGCTTCCAGAACCCTCACCATAATGCTGGCTGTCCGCTTCACCTTTGTCAGTTGTATAAGTCCTACTAAAACGAGGCTTTTCCAAACTGATCACAAAACTCCAGATGTGGCCCAGTGAGCCCAGAGAATTTTGGGATTGTCTTTTCAATGAGAAAAAAAAAAGTGCACCTGAATTTTAGCATCAGTTCCTGCTGGTTGTCTTAGAGTGTTTTAAAACAATCTTGTATTAACGTTGTCTATACAACCTATAAGCAAAATATTTGCTATGAAATATGTTCTGCTTTACAGGTTGGAGATTATGTATTTGCCAAAATTATGATACCCCAAGGATTTGACTTCTACGTCCCTGCCATTGTCATAGCACTTCCAAATCAGCATGTGGCCTCAGAAAAATTGTACACAGTTTTGAAATGTAACAACCGGAGAGTAAGTAGATTTTCATTTAGAAAACGGCTTTCTCTTGGGTGATACCAAGCTTTTCCCACTGTCAGATGTCTTCAAGAATGATTTCCCCATCTGTGTCTACTCCCCCTGCCCCTCCACTCCCTGTGGCTTGGGTCCTACCCACTGTGTCACACAGACTCTGCCCTGTGAGATCGCCGTGGTGTGTGACTCCTGTATTGCACAATCTTTGGCTCTTGCTGCTGAACTGTGCTTTGCCTTTGACAGGCAGGTGTCAAAGTCAGTGTGTCACCTTTCCCCCAAGTACCTACCTCCTCCTGTGTTCTCTGTATTGGGGGTGCCACCACCTGAGTCCCTACCTCATAACTACCTAGGTACCACTTCCAGAGTTGGTAAGGATTGGGGAGATGAGGAGAGACAGGCATGAAGTGGAGCAGAGTGGGAAAACACAGGCTTTGCAGTAAAAAAAAACAACAAAAAAACAAACTTGCCTTTGGAGTCAGTGAACACTCACTGTGCTCTTCGTTAGCTGTCTGACCCGGGCAGATTGCTTCACCTCTCTGAGCCTCAGTTTCATCACATATGAAATGGATATTTTATATATCTGAAATGTTCTGTAGAACATACGGCTGCTCTCTCGCTTCCCAATGAAACCCGGGAGGCAAGGAACTGGGAAGAAAGAAGTTTTTTTCTGAATTCGGAATTCAGGGAGATAAGCCAGTATAGATACCAAGGCTAGCTCAGCTCCTCGGATTCTACAGTCTGTATTTTATGTGCATAAGCATTGGCGTTTGCTACTGATTAACATCGAACTATGCAATTTACAAAACATTCTATAAGATTCCAATTACAATTGCTTTTCATCAATAACACTCATTGCTTGCATATTCTTGGAACCACTTACCAGGAACCTGTAATTTTTGTTTATCACTAACTCTAAGCAAAGGAGTTAGTGGAGCTTACCACAAAATAAAACATTATTCATTGTGGTACATCATTAGCCAGTGGGTACCACAAAAGAGTGTACTGGTTACAGTACAAAATTAATATAATTGTAACTATAGAAATGAATAGTAATCTATTTACTATGTGAGTACAACCATGGAATCAGTGACTCATTCTGTTCCAGGGAGGGTCAGCACAGTCTTATAATTTTAAGGAACACGGGTGCATGAAGGGCAGTAGCTTAGCAACTAAACATTATAACAATCATGATAGTAGTAGGTCTCTTTATCATTTCCCCACTGTCAGTTAAAGCCGTGATAACCATCATGGAGTTTATATCTGTTTTACTGCTTCAGCCTGAACAGGTGTATGGCTTCTTCCCTTTGATGATTTTTTGTGGTTTAGAGATTTGGTTACAAGCTTAGGAATCCTGGCAGTGCATCCCATACAAAGTTTGAAGAAGACATATATTAAGACTCTGATTATTAACATAGTTAGGAGGAAACTTCCTATTCCTGACACAATACCTCTAAGACTCAGCGGGATCCAAGAGAAAATGTTTGAGTACCAGTATGAAGCCTTCCCAAGCACCTCCTTACATGTACATTTGAATCACTTATGGCACTGACACTGGTTTTCATTTGGTCCAGCATTATTGTTATGTTCTCTGATTAATCTGGGATGAAGGTGCAGCATTCAGTGTGTATAATGGCACAAGTGCCTCCTTGGGATCCAGTGAGAATATCTAAGGCCATTCTGTTTTGCGATACTGCTTTCCTCATTAATTAAACTTCTGTATTCAGCATCATTAAACTACCTCTGCTTTTGCAACACAAGTTTTTAAGTCTTTTCTAAATGACAGTTTTGATATAGCCAAAATGGCCTCTTTCTATGTTTACATCTATCTATATTTTGCAGGCTGATTGTGAGGCTTAAGGAAAATATACGTAAAAAATCTGCCAGTCTGACATGCAGGGATTAGGTAATACTAGTGATGATATGGCTGCAATGGTTAGTAGCATTACTCTCAAATCTTCTCCTCCTGTACACCCCCTGGCCAGTGAGCAAGAGTGATTCAGTCAACCCTATTACCTCTAGATTGATTTGTTCATTGGACAGATGTTTGTTACGCATCTATTTTTTCCATTGAATTGTTAGTCTTTTTTTATTGATTTGGGGAGGTCTTCTGTGTCCTCTGGATAGCAATTCTTGACACTATATACAGTCAAAATTCTTTTCCCAGTCCGTTGCTTGTCTTTTGTATAGATAGTGTTGCATGGAATCTTTGTTGACAGAGACGCTTTAAATATTAATGTAGTCAGATTGATCCATTTTCTCCTTCATGAATTGCCCTCTCAGTGTTTGCTTAAGAAATCCTCCCTTAATCATATATTTCTCGACATATATTTTCTAAAGTTTTAGAATAATTTTTGGACAGTTTACAAATCTGATTATGTCATTTGCCTGCTTGAATTTCCCCCATACTCACACTTCTTGTCACCCTCAAAAAGAATTCCACCATGACCCCAGCATTGCTGCACTCTGCTCCATGATCTGGACTTCCAGATAAGTGGAAGGTTCGCTGCTTTCCCCACACAGTGGGCTTTTACCTCTTCCTGAATTGCCTTCCCCATCTCCTCTCCATAAGAAACTTCTGTCACCCTAAAGACTCTACCCAACTGTGACTTCCGGCTGAGCCCCTCGAATTCTTCTGCCCTTCTGCACTGCCCTTTTCCAATGCTGGCTTCCTCACCAATCTCCTACCACTTAAAGACAGAAACACCATCTCATTCACCTTTGCTCCCACCCACTGGCCCCGCCCCACAAACACTGCCCCAGTGAAGAGTCTCACATTGTCTTTTAAATTACTTGAATGAATGAGATTTCTAGTGGAAAATGACATGGTCTTGATGGACCACTTAACATGTCTGGAAAGTAAACAGGCAAGTGAAACAGATTGGTAAGCAAAAAGCGAAGTAACTGAGGCTAATGGTATTATTAAGCCTTTATTGTGTGCAGTAGATGTTAATCCAAGTGCTTTACACACAGTGGACAATTGAATCCTCAGAATACTGTGAGGTAGGGACTATTGTTATCTTCATTATCAGATAAGGAAATTGAAAGCAGAGAGTTTACATCACACACCTGTAAGCAGTTGAGCTGGTATTTGAACCCAGACTGTCTGGCTCCATGGCCTGCACACTGTGCCCAGCTGCCCACCATACAGAATTTAAAATATCCAGTAAATTTTTGACTGTGTCATGAGGAAGTTCTGTCGAGGAGTGGGGCATGGTAAACAGATTTTAGGGTTAAAGGCACAGGAGAAAGACCATCAGAACCAGTGGCCCTAAAAGCACTGGATCCAATCTGACAGAACAAGCGGAAAAGGAGGTGTCTTCTTACCAACCCAGGAAAAACTTCTTAGAGAAAGTGGAGTTTCTAGAGCTGTCTGGAAGCCAGTAAAGAAGAAGTCTTGAAGGGCAAGCATTCTTATTCCAAGCATGTGGCATTGCTCTGGGGATCTCTACTATGCATGGGGTTGCGGGGGAGGAACTAAGGGACATTCTAAGGGCACGCCCCAGGGTGCTGGGTGAGATGAGGCAGTTGGTCTAAGATCAAGGGAAAGCCTCAGGAAGGATCTTGGGGTTTATCCACAGGGCACGGGGCCCTGGAGGCTAGAGTAGTGTGGTCAAGAGGAAGGACACTGGAGATAGTTCTGATGGGGATTTGTAGAGACCCAATAAGGCTGAAAGTAGAACATTCAGCAAAAGGGTCATAAATGTTCAGGAAAAAAATAATCAAGGCTGAAATATAGATTGGAAATTGGTTATATGAAGTGGCGTGTGTGTGTGTGTGTGTGTATGCACGTGCGCGTGCACACATGTACATGTGGATAGACTTGGCAATTGATCCAGAATGTGGAGAAATGACAGAGGATTCAGTAATGACTTCAGAAAATAATTATCAAGCAAGACTTTGAATTTAAACTGTACTCTTAAGTGTCACCCTTTATAGAATAGTGATTAGCAGCTATTATAATGGGTTGTGCTAGAATAGAATTATATCTGAATTGTGGACATTTCTGACTTAAATTGAGTGAACTCTTTTGTTATTATTACAGGAATTTTGTCCTCGGAGTGCACTTATTAAGATCAGCCAAAACAAGTATGCTCTCTCTTGCTCTCATATAAAGTCACTCTCAGTTCAGGAGGATTCAAAAGTGTAAGTGTACTCACCTTTTATCCCTTGAATGTCAAGTATATCTTTGCACTTTTAATCTGTTTCTGAAATCTGTTTTCATCTGGGGCAGTAGGATTGCTAAAATATAAAGATCAATTAAGCATGCCTGAAGTTCCAGCTAGTTGGAAGGCCGAGGCGGAAGGATCGTCGGAGCCCAGCTGGTCAAGGCTGTGGTGGCCGGGAGTGTGCCACTGCACTCCAGTCTGGGCGACAGAGTGAGACTCCAACTCAAAATAAAAATAAAAATAAAGATCGACTAAAGCCAAGTCAATATGAAAAAATTAGGGCCTACAGGGCGAAAAAAAACCCCAAGTCATGGGGCCAACGAGGGGCATAAAGTTGGAGTCATAGAGCCATGACCTTGGAGTCAGGGCATAAAAAAGAAACAAAGGTGGATTTTGAGCAAGGGTTGGGAAAAGGGATCCAGGAATCATCTTCCAATTTCTCTTTGAGATGTCGGGCTATCCTTGGGTGCTAACCTTCATCTTCCCGATGACCTTACCTTCTACTTCACAACCGAAACAAACCATCAGACATTCTCTCCCTCTACTATTTATTCCCACCACTGGGCTTGTGGCTATCTCTACCTTTTTCTCTAATGCCAAAAATTAGTGTTCCTTTTTTCATTCAAGGCTGATCGGTCCTTCTCTGTCTTGGGTCCTTGCTCTATTGATTATCCCTGGGTTTTTCTCCCTTCTCTTCATAGCTCTTCTCCACTGAATCCTTTACTTCAGCAAAAAACCAGATTTGCTTCCCCTATTTACACAAATACACACATGCATGCACCTGTGCGTGCACACACACACACACACACATACACACACACACACACACACACTCCTAAATAACTAACCTCTCCTCATTCCACAGTGTGACCCAGCACACTCCCTTCCCTTCACTGCCAATCCCCATGTGCAGCTGGGTGAACTTGACGTCTCCACTCTCATGTCTTCTATTCACTCCCTAATTCTTGGGTATCCGCTTCCATCCTTACACCCATGTGGACAATATTTCCACAGAGGCCACTCAAGACCACCCATGTGCCTGAACCACAAGCTCTGCCCACACTGGCTGTGCTTGCTCTTGCACGCCTACTGGACACCATCAGCTCCTCCTTCCCTCCCTAACCCACCTCTTCAGGCTTGTCATGATTCTACTTCACTGGGTTGTCTCCTTGCCTAATTTCACTGACACGCACTATTTCCATGACTCCATTTACATTAAGGACTCCATCTCTCCTCCAACCCAGACTGTTCTTCTGTGCTCTTGCATCAGAATCAAGGACTCCGAGATTGAGACCTGCAAGGGGGACCAGCTGGTTGCAATGTGCAGCCACGGCAGATAACTATGGGGTGAAGAATATTGAAAACCGAGACTTGGTTTCATGTCGCAGCCTCATCCTCACTTAGTTTTGTACCCCTGGGCAAGTCACTCATCATCTCTGAGCTTGTTCTCTCATCTGCAAGATTAGGGTGGTGTGAAGATTAGAATTGGTCTTTGCCTGGCATCTGCAATGAAGATTAGAAATGGTAATTGCCTGACAAAAAGCAGGTGTTCAGCACATGATGGGAATTGCATATTTCCAACCTTCCACTGGATGTTTCTATCTCAGTGTACAGAATCTCAAAAATTCAGCACATCTAAAACCAAAATTATAGTTCCTCACAAACCCGCTCCCATCTGGGCCTTTTCCATCTCAGTTCACCCTTACACCTACCCTTCACAGAACTATCCAGTCAGAAATCAGATAGCCACCTTTGGTTGCTTCTCTTTGTCTATACCACATCCTATGGATCTCCAGGTTACAGTGATCCTAACTTGCAAGAAGCTTCATTTCCTCCAGGCTCCTCCTGCCACAAGCTCGGCTATTCTCCATGAGCACTGAGAGAGTAAACTTCCTCCCATGCAAATCTGTGCTTGCCCCTCTCCCACTCAAAAGTCCTTCAGAACCTCCCCCATGCCCCTTCTTATCCTAGTGTAGCCTCTTGGTCTGATCCAGGCCTGCCTGCCTTGACACATTTGACCCTAGCCACCTCCTAACCAACCCACCATTGCCTTCTGCACACTAACCACATTAAACTGCTTGTAGGTTTTCCCCCCCGCATGCTTTTTCAGGTCTCCGTATAGATTATGTATTCCCTCTCTTGAATGCTGTTCCTTGCTCTTAGCCACTTGGGGAATTCCAAGATTGAACTCAGGCATTGCCACCACCATGCATTGTCCCAGCACCCCAGCACTCCTTCATAGTGAGATGGTCCCACTACATCCTGCAGAGACTTTTATTAAAGAAAATTTCCCTTGCATTGACCTTGTAGACACAAATCCTCTTTATTCTTCATCTAATGAGTATATTTCATTGAAAATCATAGCACACTTTTTGCGATCTCAAAATTCTGCTCAAACAGATGACATCCAAATTTCAGTACATAAGAAAGGAAAATAAACTAATGAGTCTAGGTGTTGCCCATTTTCACTCAACTCTACATTATCGATCACTATTTTAGAGTTAAAATGCAAATTTTTTTCTATTGAGAAGAGCCTTTGTTTCCCATCCCCTACCCTCCCACTAGCTTCTAGGCTTTTCACGGTGGAAGCACTCATTGACTTCCTTGTCTCCCCATTGTAATTTCCACTGGTTTTTGCTCCGGATGTCTCTCTGGGAACAAGAGACTGGGTTCAGTTCTCCTAAGCAGAGGTCACATTCAACCTGCTAAGTTCAGACTTGAGCCAGTGTCTGTTTCTATAAGAAGGGTTAGCAGAACTGAACACAAAAATGAAGGTGTAGGTCTTATTTTATCTCTACACTGCGATTTCCTTCTGGTAGGTCCTTTCCTCAGGAGCTCTTTATTAATGTTTCTCCCGCTGGCTGCCCATGAATAAGTCTTCACAACATTCTACCAAATGAGGCCTTTGAAAAAAAATCCTGGTCCTTTCTTCATGTGCTATTAAAGAAATGTACTGTAGGTTTCATCTTCAACGAAACATCATTTGGCTAAATTTAATTTTAAAATATTGAATCTATTCATGACCATCCACTTGGGGGTAAGACAAGGAATAACTGCCCACCCAAACTGCTGGGTGGACCAGGATGCTCGATGTCCTGCTCTCCATCCTTGTCCCTCCTCCTTTCCTTCCTTCCTGGAACCTTCAGTTGTGGTGACTGAGGGTATTACCTGCAGGTCCCTCTCGTGCTTGCTAACTGAGGGTGGTGCCCTGTGAAAAATAAGAAGGAAAGGATTTGGAGGACGAAGGATTCAAAGTTAATCAAACGTGGCCAAAGCTGAGGCAGATGCTCATTTTCAACTCAAAACTGGACACCTAAATGACTCTTAAAGGCCTTTTTAACAGGATTGGCTTGCAAAATACGTTATCCTTATTGCTAAATTCCAGATGACTTGTTCTTGAAGGAGAGAATGTCAGTGTGACCATGTTTACAATGTGAAACAAATGAGGCTGGGACTGATTTTATCTTTCCCTTGCATTGTGATGAGTGGCATCGCTGAGTTTTGTGGTTTTTTTTTTACATTCTGTGTCATCAGAGATGCCTTTTATGAGGGAGAATTTCATTTAAATCATAGCACATTTTCTGCTAATCTCAAAATTCTGCTCCAATATGACATCCAAATTATAGTACATAATAAAAGAATATAAATGGATGTAACTAGGTGTTGCCCATTTTCACCCAACTCAACACTGTCAATCACTATTTTAGAGTTAAAATGCAATTCTTTGTATACTGAGAAGAGCCTTTGCCTTAGTCATTTGTCTGTAACTTTCTCCATTTAGAGAACACACATGTAGTTTCTCCCACGTAATCTTCTCAATAACTGAAGAAGCAAGTGAAACAGGGGAATTTCCCCCCATTTGGCATCCTTTACTCTCACCAGGGCAGGGGAGTCATAAACCAAGGCTTTCCTGGGCTGTGGCTTCTGGCTGTTGCTGGGGAAGGGACCTGATGAAGCTGATGTTCTAGCTTCTGGTTTTCTCCAGTGGGAGGAAGTATCTCTACCAGGCACAACTTAAGCATTCACAGGCTGGGGCCTCTGGCAGGCCTGAACTAAATGCACACACTTGGTGCCATGTAACTGACTAGAAGTCCCTCCCAGTAGATATGGAATCCTTCCTCCCCTCATTCTCAATAGAGCAAGGCTTGAGTAGAATGTCAGTGTGACCATGTTTACATGGAGTCTCTGAGACTCCTCCTTAAGAAGACTCTTCAGGAGTTTGGTTTCTTAAAAGAATAATAACAATTTCCAAACATGATCTCAGGAAAACCAAATAGGACTAATCATTTTCTCTGTGCTCCAGAGAAATCCTTAGGCATCTGAAGGAAGTTGTTGAGTACTGAGACCCTGGAGGCAAAGAATGTTCCCTTGCTGCTTGATTGTCATTGTATGGTCTTGGGGACATGGCTGTGTTTGAGTCTGCAGAAAGGGAGACCTTCCCAGGGCTCAGGTGTGGTCTGCTTGGGTCTGTGATTGGCTCCCCAATTCCTATTACATAAAGTATTACTCTCTCATTATCTTTCTTTTGAACAGTTTAGTAACTTTGCATGAAGCCACTGGGATTTAAGCTCGTGACCCAATGGAAATGGTAACTTCCACCTTGTTTAACACTCTCCTTGACTCTGAGTAGTATTGTGGCCTCACGTTGCCTTCCTGACAGCGGCAAAATTAAGTCATTGATTGAAACTTCAAGGCTCAGCACTGCCTCCGACATTACAGTAGATGAATCACTTCTCTTAATCTCGCCTGGACACTCCTGACAACTTTTCCCTTCGAGGGAGCTGTGCATTTGAAACCATTAAGCCTCTGTGTGTCATTTGCTCTTTGTGTCTTTTCTGGTTGGATTAAGAGTCTCATTGCCTATGCTGGAGCAAAGCCCTGGAAAACATGCAGTTCAGCAGTGAACCCTGTCTGTGAGTGTCCTATATTATCCAGAAGGACAAATGCCATTGCCTGCTTTCAGAAAGCATGCTATAATGTCTGTGACTTGGGACAGGAGAGCACAAGGAGTCACAGAGATCCATGAGCCCTTAGGGCCAGTGATAATTCAAATGGCAGTAGTCTTTTCTTATCAATCTCTTCATTTTCTGCCCCCTCAACTGTTAAAGCTCAAGACCTCCTGGTCCTCAACAAACATCTATCCAGTGCCTACTCCACAGGTTCTCTTGTTCTAAGACAGCCTTGCTGTCAGGGACACTTAGGGCCTAATACAAATGAAGCCTCAGGAAACCAGCAAAGAATCCTGGCAAACTGACAGTGCTTGATCAAGTGAGTGAGGTGGGTTTTGAGTCCAGGAGAACATAGCATGGAGTGGGTGATCCACAGAAGTGGAACCAGCCTCTTCTGAAAAGTCAGTAAAGGCACAGTCCCAACACACACACACACACACACACACACACACACACACACACACACATATTTACCATATGTCTATTGTATTGTTCAATCAAATCTGTAACCTAAAATAATCAATAGAGCACCTAACTGAATTCCGTTTTGGTATGAGATTGGGCAAAAGAAAGCCATTTAGTGAGTCTTTTCCAGGTGCGCTGATGGATAATATTGCTGGCTGGAAGTCAGGACCATGGCATCCCTCTCTCTTCCTCCGAGTGGACTGGGTCAAGCAACAGAGTGAGGTGGGAAGGGGATGAGTGTTTTCACATCAGATTCACATCTACCCTGCTCCCTGCTCTCACTCTTTCCCATCAGGTGACATATCTTGGTGAAATATCTTGAACTCAGTCAACATTGCTTATCCTGGAGAATGAAATACAGTGGCCAAGAAGTTTCTGCTTGATTCATATAAAGGCCCTTGCATGCTTTTTGTTTTAATCTTGACAGCTTGTTTTATTCTTATTCCGAAAGAAATGCATAGGTAGTATAATTTATAAATTAAAAGCAAGTGAAAAAAAAAACACATAAACCATCTATATAGTCCCACACTTCAAAAGTAATCACCATTTCGATTTTGGTATACATCCTTCTAGAGTGTTTTCCCTGCTGTGTGGATTCTTATTTTTCTTCAAAATCAAAGGCTTTATTGTTTCTCCTTATCATGTATGACAGTTGCAGAAATTTTTTTTAATGTGGAGGAAGTATAGGTCTACTGAAATCGGTTTGAACAGTTTGATGCAAAGAGTTTCTAGTCGTTCTTATGCACTCACAAACTTCATAACAAAAATGAAACATAATTTGCATTTTGTCAAAACAAATAACTTTGTTTCACTTAACATATTATTTATGTCTTTCCATGACAATGGCACCTCTTGTTTCATTATTGCCCGCCTAGAATTCCATTATTCAGGTGGTCCATAAGTTATGTGACCTATGCCCCACTGAGGGCTACCCACACGTTGCTCCTTGCTCTCTCTTGTTCTTCCCAGAGGCCCTCAGGCAGGTAGGTAGACTTCTTCCCTACCTTGCTGTTTCAATGTTTCAGTATGCCTGAAAAACACCCTATTTCCCACTCCTCCTTCTTGCTGTCCTTCCTTGTGAGAGGAAGGAGGGTTAGGGACTAGACTGTAACCAATCCTCACGCATGGGAAATAGAGAAAACCTGTGAAAAAGAAATGGAATGTATCCACTCAGTCTGCTTTACAGGAAGGTAGCAATGTCAGGGATAATGTGATGGATAAGGTTTTAGATTTCATAGAGCAGGGATGGTGAATACAACCTTAAAGTATGATTTCAAGATGTCTCGAAGAACTTGATATCACAGAATTCATACATCCACACAAGCTCCGGCCGCATACTTAAAGATAATTTTGTTTGTGGCTTCCCAGAAAACCCTTTTTCCAATGTTACTGCTATGCTTAATTCAACTTTTTAGTCTCTCCTGGAAGTTCTGTCCTGAGTCTTGGAGGCAACCTTTGAGCGTTATCACATGTGACAAAATCCTGATCCTTTGATGAGGGATTTGAGTGATGAAATTTTCTATTTGGAAATAACTAAAAAAATCTTTTTTCCAGCTTATTAGTTTTTTCCTGACAACTTTCCTAATGATCTGAAGCAACAACGGTCTGAAGTTATTCAGAGTAAAAACAAAACAAAAAAATCTATTCAGAGCAAAGGCAAGGTGATCAAGATAGCCAGTACTAATTATGGAAACAAAACTAGGTTTAACACCAGGCAGCTGGTGTCTTTAAGTTACCCTAAAGGCCTTGAAAAGGGAGAGTTCCCAAAACAGTGAGCCAGGGTGGCATGGCTCCAAATTAGGTCATGGTGTTCCCAAAATGTCTTTTTCGAAGGACAACACTTCTGGGTAAATAATCTTTGTCCAGTACACTTTCTCAATACTAAGTCTAGCTCTATGACTTCACAGTCAGACCTAATTTTTTTCAATTAAATGTCGATATAAATCATAGTACACCTTGAAGTCATCAGAGAAACCCAGGGATGTAGAGAATGTAGAGAATGTCTAAGGCTCCAGTTCACGGATGAGCTGGGCTGGGATGGGGCCACGCTGATCCCCTTGGGGTGGACATGGGTCCATACTGAGGAACTCTCAAGGGTTTCTGGGCTGGGAGTTGTCCCTTCACTGATTTGGTCAGGGAAGGGCCCAAATAGTTAGATTTTCCATACCATAAAAGACTCCCAGACAGCAAAGGCATATGAAAGTGAACTGAGTGGAATTAACTCCAACCTAAAGTATTGACCAATAGCACTCCAGAGACTCTTAACACGGGAAGAAGGGTGTAGACAAAGAGTTGAGAAGCATCCTTGGGGCTAGCTTGGACATCCCTGTGGACACAGCAGCCACCAAGACAGGGTAACTCTGATCTCTTTCTCTCTCTAGAAAGGATATGGAAACGAGGAATTCTGATTTCTGTCTCTGGCCACTGAAAGAAGTTGACACTGGGGATGCAAAAGAGCCAAAACAGGAGAATACTAGAAGAAAGAAAAAGAGACCTGCCAAGATGCCACCTCTCCAGAAGACGGGGTCCTCAGACTCAGATGGCTCTTCCCACGGCACCAGGTCCCAGAAGTCCTACTCCAAGACACACCCCAAGCCCAAGGTGGTGGGGGAGGTGGGAAGGACAACATCATTTATCTCCGGAACACTCTGAGTTTTTTTCAAGAATAGTGCATATGAGATCACTCTCCAGTTTCTAGGTCACTGTAAGCCCCAGCAGAGCAAAAGCCCTAATGCCTTTAAGTAATGCTGACCTCCACTTCCTCAGATATGGCCCTCAGCCAGGGATCTAAGACTCAGCCAGCTACACCATCGCTGGCACACCTCCACCTCGAGCTGCCCCACCCGGACCTCATCGAGTCACCCATAGTAGCAAAGGGCTGAGGACCATCGCAAGAAACCTCAAAGTAGTTTAGTGACAGCTGTGTTTACGAGAGCCAGTGTTCCTCCAGGGTGGAGCAGACCTCAGCCCTTGACACTGTGGAACTAGGCCCTCTGGGAGGTAAGGCCCCCCCGATGCCACTGTGCTCACCCTGTTTGTCACAAAGATTCAGCTCCCCTGTCTGCCTCTCCTCCCTATTTAAGCATATTTGTTCTGGCTTTTCCCGACAATTTTTTTACCCTACTTTATCCCCTGTCCTTATAAAACTGTATTCAATCTTCTAGTAGACTTTTCACATCCAGAAGTTTTAACCTGACAGATGACTGTCATTAGGATTTTCAAGTTTTTTGGAAGTCAGCATAGTTAGGGAACAAGCCCACAGTCTTGTTTAAATTGATTATTTCATCAGAATTAGAGATTTTTGTCATTCAATGTTAGGACTGAAATTAAGCCCTGGTAACTTATCTGAGATCTTAACATTCCCTTAACAAGATCTTAACAAGACTTAACATTCCCCATTTTATTGTTTTCTGGGCATTTTAATTGAGCTGTTCCTAATTATTTTTGTCTGTAGTCTGTTGTAGGTACCTCTAATTGAGAGCAAAACCAGAATAAAAACACTTACACTGGAACCATTTCAAAACTGCTTTATTTGTACTGTTTATTTGTTTATTACTGTTTACTTTGAGCACATTTTAGCAATGAGATATGCAAAAATTCAGATCTATTCACTAATTTCAAAAGTGAAATAGCACTACCAAATTCCCTTTTTCCAGTCAGTAGTAACCCTGGAGCTAGATAATAATAGACTAAAGATTATCATTAAGAAAAATATCAGACGGGCACAGTGGCTCACACCTACACTCCCAACACTTTGGGAGGCAGAGGTTAGAGGATTGCCTGAGCCCACAGATTCACGATCAGCCTGGGCAACTTGACAAGACCTCATCTCTACAATAAATAAAAAAAAATTGCTGGATGTGGCGGCGCACAGCTGTAGCTCCAGGTACTTAGAAGGCTGAGGCAAAAGGATCGCCTGAACCCAACAGGTTGAGGCTGTGGTGGCTGGGAGCATGACACTGCACTCCAGCCTGGGCAAAAGAGTGAGACTCCAACTCAAAAAAAAAAAAAATTGGATGCTTTTTGCAAACAGAAAAGATAGAGCACAGTTCTGATACTCTAAAAATTCGCAATCCAGTTAAAAGTGATGTTCGCACTTCTGAAAGTGAGGGGTCACCAGGATTGTGGTAAATAAATTAAAGGAAGAATTTACTTCCAAAAATGTGAAAGAATAAGGAACATCAGTTCAGCATCAGGCTAAGAATAATAATGCAGTGAGGAAGGAATGAGGAGTGAGGAAATGAAACAAGGCAGGGGACAGTGTGTGGGGAGGCATCTGCCTCCCAGAAGCCAGAGGTTCCTTCCTGGCAGGAAGGCTCTGAAACAGCCTCCGCTAATGAGAGCTGTATCCTGGGAGGACAGTCTGAAAGAAGCAGGGTGTCTGATCTGCATAGAGAACGAGTGAGGGAGGAAAGAAACCCTCCAGTTTCAGGCATTCATCCATTTATTCATGTAAGCCTGCATGCATTCATTCAATTATTCACCAAGCAATTGAATGCTGACAATGTGCCAGGCTCCAGAGAGATGCCATCAGACATTTGGAAGGTGGTTATCTTCTTTCTCTATTCCATCTCTCTCTCTCTCCATCTCCTCTTTCTTATTAGACTAATCACTGTTGTCTGGTGGTAGAGGATGTGCAGGGAAAATCTACACAGTAATAGTGCATTGGCATTACGTTACAGTGCAAGATATGTTCAATGACATCATATGATACGTTCATTGCTAATGCTTCTTTCAAAGTGATGGGAAAAACTGCAATTACAACAGTATACTTTCACTTCCAACCAATATCAAATAACTGGAACTAGATTTACGCTTACACCAAAACGACTAAGACACCTGATAAAATGTCTGTAACAACAATTTTCTGAAACATTGGCCATCAGGCAATAAAAGACAGTGAGCTTTGAGAGATAAATGAGGTGAGCCCTCTGAGTGCCTTTGCTCACTTTCTGGAGACAGTTTCCAGGTTACCGCAAAGGGAGGGGGAACTGAGGCAGAACCTGGCAGCTTCTGTAAGTTGAGGAGATGGAACTGAGATTCTGAGGAGACCAAGGCAACTGGAGCTCACAGGGTAGAGTGCTGGAGAAGAAAGAACTACAAAGAGAAAGAACCCTGGAGATCGGTAGAGTGATCCTCTTGAATCTTCAGCTGGTAAGTGCATTGCTCTGAGGAAATTACTGAAGGCCAGAGAAAAGGCCACTCAACAAGATTAGAGGGAACAATCCCTACAGCTCACACAGAGCTGAGACTGTTTCCTGTCTCCTAAAGACAGAGCAGAAAGCCTCATTATTCATAAGGCACCAGATAAAATACACAGGAGATTAATAGTAGAACAAAACTGACCTTAGACTAAATACTTCTTCAGTCCCACCTAACAAAGCTCAAAAGCAAGACCTGGAGGGATCAAACTGTTTCCAAATTGTGTTCCAGAACAAACCTCAAGGATATGTATAGGGATACAAAAATCTCCACCATCCGACAAGGTAAAATTCATAATGTCTGACATTCAATCAAAGATTGGTTTAAAGACAGGCAGGAAAGAAGCGGGAAAATAAAACCATGATAAGAAGAAAATTCAGTTGGCATTCTGTTAGAAATGCCACAGATGATGAAGAGTACCAGAAATGGTGACTGGGGCTATATATAAAAGTTTCTTTTCTTATTGTTCAGATCTCTTTTAAATATTTACCTTATTGAATAATGGAAGTGGCATATTAATGCATTTTATAAATCCCCATACATGCACCTGGATATATTAATTGCCTCAGGTGATTTGTGTGTTTGGTTTTTCACTTAACATACCTATACATTTAGAATACACCAGAAGAAGTAATAAAAGCAGTTCAATCTGAAAAAAGAAAGAAAGTCACATACACACATAATAATAATAGCTATGTAACCAGATTTTATGGCCATCCTTTACATTTGGTCTGAATCACAAGCCAGGGGCAGAAATCAATATAGGCAAATAAATGATCAATTAGAAGATATGAGTACATATGTTGATAGAGAGAATTTCATTTACAATAGCAACAAAGAAAACAAAATGCAGTTAATTCTCATTATTTATGGTAGTTATGTTCTATAAAGTTGCCTCTCGCACTGAACACTGAGTCATTGCTCCCAAAGGAAATACAAGATTAGGTTCCTATGAGCCTAATCCTCTGGTCACATATATTCATCAACTGATCCATACACAAACTTGTTTGATGTGTGTTTCTACTTAAATGCATTTCATTTCATACATATTGTTGATTCATTAGCCTAATCATGCCCAACACATGATTAACATGTTAACAGGAGGAGAGCTAAAACAAGAGGGCAGCTAGGTGACTCAGATTTTTCACTGCTTTGAGTGTGCACCTGTCTGCAAAGGTACCTTGAGCATTAATTTGGGATTATACATAAATTTTAGCAAGTAGGTGAATTCACAAATATGGGATCTATGAGTAATGAAGATGAATGGTGCCTGGAATAAACTTCACAAGAAATATGCAAAACCAATATGTGAAAAACTCTGAAACACTCTTGAAAGACATAAACATAGAGCTGAACACCACAAAGATGATAGTTCTCCCTGAGATCATGTATTAATATAACACAATCCAAATATAAACAATAGTAAATGCCTTATGAGGCTAGAAAAGTTGATCGTGAAGTTCATATGAAAAATAAATGTGAGAGTAAGAAAAGGCTAAAAAATAAAACTATAAGGAGGAACTTATGTCAACATCATTATGCTTAAAATAGTATGGCACTAGTACAAGAAAATACAAATAGAGTGATGGAATAAAATAGACTCCAGAAAAAAAAAAAACATGTATTCATCCTTCAGTATGTCAAGGGGATTGGCTCCAGGACCCTCATGAGATAAAAATCCAAAGATACTCAAGTCCTGTAGTCAATCCTGCAGAACCTCTGAGTATAAAAATCAATTTTTCAGCATCCAGTTTTGAACCAAAGCTTAGTAGACATGCAAAGAAACAGGAAAAAGTGTTCTATTATTGTGGATAAAAGATTGTCAATAAAAACTTTGAGTCCATATGTTGTATAGCAGACATCAAAGCAGTTATTATAAATATATACAAAGAATTAAGGAAAAAATGTAGTATCAATGAAGAACTGAGTAGAGACTCTCAATAAAGCAATGAAATTATTAAAACACAAGCGGAAACATCTAGAGCAGAAAAATACAACAAAATATACACTAAACTGAACAACAAAATGGAGAGAATAGAATAATCATTACATTGGAAGATATATTACTAAAAATTAATTAATCAATCAATGCAAAGTAAAAAAAGTATTGAAGAAAAGTCAACAGAACCTTAGAGACCTATGGGATAATTTTAAGCATTTCAAAGTATGAGTAATTGGAGTCCCAGAGAGGAGAAGACACAAACGGAGAAAGAAAAGATATATTTAGAGACATAATGTCTAAAAATTTCAAAAATATAGTAGAAAATGTTAATCGATTCAAGAAGCCTGAGGGACTCTAAGAATGATAAAAACCACGAAAACCACTCCTATGCTCATCAGAGTCAAACTGCTAAAAGAAGATAACAAGGAAATATTTAAAGCAGCCAGAAAAGAACAATCTATTACATTCAGGGGAACAATGACATGATTACAAATGACTTCTCAAAAAAAAAAAAAGAAGATGAATAGTGTCTAGAATAAACTTAACAAGAAATTTGCAAAACCCCAGGGGATGGGGGGGAGTGGGATTGGCAGTTGAAGGAAACTGCTGGGGGAGGGAGGGACATACCTCATCAACAAGGGTACCTGCATAATCAATGTTTGTATACCTAACCCTGATTTGCACTCCACATCTTTATAATAAAAAATAATAATTTAAAAAATTTGCCAAACCAATATGTGAAAAACTTAGAAACCCCTTGTTTTTAGATC